ACTTTTCACAGATTTTTTCACAGATTCTCTCCATTATGAAATCTTCCTTTACTTGCTGAATTTTCGTTCGTTTGAGCGAGTAAACTTCCTTCATGTTACTTTTCTATCGCTCACTCTGCTACAATGTTCCGCCAGCCAGTTAGCGCTTTTGACATTTACGCCATCTAATATGTTTCTTTTCAGAACATTGACCATATCTTGTCCGCAAGCGAACTACATCATGCAGTCGTCATGGTAAGTGACTTTAGTGTTTCGAAATCTCTCAGGACCCACTCGACTATCAAGTCGGTTTTTTTGAAGTTTACACATGACTTTCAGATCGAATTCCATAGTATTTATCAAATAGGAGAGAAAAATATAGCTTTTTTAAAGACTTCTTTTCCTAGCGCTACAGAAGTCTCACTTCCCAGTTTGAGTAAAAAAAATTTGAGTGGTTCAACAAAACTTCTCCCACCAGACTTGTATAAAAAACAATTCCTCACATTCTTTCTGTCAGATGACGGATAACTTTAGAGCTCCTTTACTGTTCTGCAAAAAGATTTTTACAAAAGTGATAACACTATTACTTCCACATTTTTTATTTCGAGAACAATGTTAATAGACAGTGTAAAGCTTATTAGCTTATTTATCTCTATATTTTTCATTTTTATGTTCACACGTCTGAAAATCAAGGCTATCAAGGGAAATTATAACACGGTTATAAAGGAATTGATTTTGTAGGCTACGTATGGAAGCCATTGCTGTTTCACATTTCGATATTCATAAGAAAATACGGCTAAGTAATGAAACATTCAAAATTGAGCTCAATTCTTTAGCAGACGTATTATAACAAATCCAAATAATGGTCATAACGAAATAATTGTTTACTTTCTTATTTCTGCTGATTACATAGCATAGATCGTTGATTTTTTTGTTGTGGAGACGCGGAAGTCGTTACATAGCTGCTAATGACACCTTCCGGTCTTCACACTATGTTTTGGTTTCTGTTTCGAATGTCACTTGATAACTTCCTAGCACGCAGTCTCGAATTTTGAGTCATAAATTTGATTTGCGGTGATTACTGATCAACTCTGGCTCACTACACTTAAAATATTGACGACAAACCAAAAATAGATGTATCGCTAGTAGGGTTTCATGAATGTGCGCTCTGATCCGTAAAGGATCATTGGTGGTCTTCTTGTCTAGTAACTTTCTTCTACTATTTTGAAAACAAGCACTAGAAGAAAAGAAGTATCTAATTGTTGCTTCTTTGTTTTCGCTATCCGCAAACTAAACCAAATTTACGATGATTCATGAAAGATTTTTCTCTCTATAAATGGAAGGTGCAATACTCGCTCATCAAAGCTGAGGAATCTTCCACTCTTGCATTCTTTTCCTTGAGACTTTTTGAGTTTTCTTCCTAAAATTTCTCATTTACGAGCTGCTTCACACATCTCTTTCCCACATTATTTTTGAACACTCGTTATATTAGATTGTCCGGAAATTAATGCAGGTTTTGGATTCCAACCAAGTCATACACTTCTCATTTCTAAGTAGGTTGCAAAGCACCATTTGATAGAACAAAGCAAGCTCTACAAAATGGCTATTCTGCTTTAGCAACAGCTTTGATCCACCACGAGTTTCGAGTAAAAAGATTCAACTGCCCGAAAAATTGAGAAAAACCTTAACCCAGTTCTTAAAAATCCTGCAAAAATTCTAACTTGCTCACGTGAACACAATCCACATAGGGCATCTATATACGCCGTTGCCGTATTTTTTTCTCTGTTAGAAATCAAGAAAACGGAAATTTTCGTGCATTTGCCAGAGTGATGATGTGCCGCTCCCATATAAGTAGTTGTATACTCAAACCTGTAGAAGTACAAACGTAAATTTTCAGCTCTCTACAAGCTTTAGTTCTAGAGAAATACCGAATATAGCTTTTCTTAGTCATGTGGCCCAAGCTAAAATTCAAAACTTGAGAACTAAAGCTTGTAGAGAGTTGAAAATTCACATTTGTACTTCTACAGGTTTGTAGTATACAACAATTTATGTGGGAACGGCACAGCATCACTCTGGCAAATGCACGAAAATTTCCGTTTTGTTGATTACTAACAGAGAAAAAAATACGGCAACGGCGCATATAGATGCCCTATGTGGATTGTGTTCACGTGAGCAAGTTAGAATTTTTGCAGGATTTTTAAGAACTGGGTTAAGATTTTTCTCAGTTTTTCGGGCAGTTGAATCTTTTTAGTTTTAAGCTCGAAACTCGTGGTGGATCAAAGCTGTTGCTAAAGCAGAATAGCCATTTTGTAGAGTTTGTTTTGTTCTATCGAATATTGTTTTGCAACCTACTTAGAAATGAGAAGTGTATGACTTATTGCGGTTGGAAGTCCAAACCTGCGTTAATTTCCGGACAACCTAATAGAATTTTGTGAGAGATTCGCAAAATCCTGATGCATTAAGTACACTGCATGACAGATTGCCCTTCTTTTGAAAAAAAAAGCTCCGAGATGATGCTCCATAAATGTGCCCTCGTTTTGATGGTAAAATCATGATGATGAATGCTGCTTTCATAATGGATAATGCCTTACTGTAATGAGGCTTTCGGGGAAGCCTTGGTTTCCTTCCTTTTCCCCATTATCATCGCACTGGATAAGGCTGTCGTTTGCTGCTTGCATACTCAAAAGGGTTTTCTGGGGTTCGCTTTGAAAATAGTACTAGCACATGCCCTGAAAGATAGAAGGTAAGTCATCTATCATCTAAGCTTATTGCAGTATAGTTCTCAAGTAAACATTGAAGATGTAATAAACCAAATAAAAGCAGCCATTTGAAAACTGTAAATGATCCGTTTTTTCCTACTAGAGTCATATAAGGAAACATCTATTCGTATCGTAGAGGCTCTGAAATTACACCTATCATTATCAAGCACCTGCAATTCGACGTTCACAATCTTTTTCATCTACAATCACTCTCAAACTTCTAATTAATAAAATCAAAGTTCTTTATATTTCCAGGTGGTGATCTGAGATGCAAGAATGTGCTATACATAAGGTCTAGACTTGCAACAATTTGAGCCTCATTGTTTTCGTACTTGGCTAAATTTGAAGTTTAAGCCCTGCATAGCTGAGTCTCCGGAGTTCGTAAACTGAAGTTTCCTAATTCTAGTCCGATACTGTGGATTTATAGGAACCAGTGGCGTACCGAGGGGAGGGACGGGGGGGGGGCGCCCCCCCCCCCGAGAATGGGTCGCGAAATTTTTGAAAGTTACTTATATGGGTTATAAAAATGTGCATGTGACTTGTTTATTTTTGTAAATAATTAAAATAATTTTTAAAAATTTTTGAAAATTGTTTTGAGAACCACCCCAAAAAATTTTTCGGAGTGCGTGGCTAAGGCCACGCACCTTCTTTAGAAAAAAATTTTTGTCGCGCCCCCCGCGAGCCGAAATCCTGGGTACGCCTAGGAACCGTTTCGCAATGAAGAATTTGATTGCAGCAAAAATTCTCCGAGTAATCGTCTTATTGGCTTCTATCATTTTTACAGAATATAATAGTTCTTACAGCACAGAATGCACTCAACTTACACTTCCTGCTTTTACTCCTAAGTTAATATCTCATGGGAGTTCAATAGAAAAAAACCAGTGAATTTTTCACCGTGTATCACGAGCTAGTTTAGTTTTTTTTTTTTGACAACACTTCACCTATATAGTGTTATGGAGAAAGTAAGCTGAAATTTTTCTCTCACACTTGATGTACATACCCCTTCATTTGTGGGTACCTCCAACTTGTCCATGCAGTTGAGTATTGCTCTATAGTCAGTGCAATCTCTTACATAAAGTCAATGAATTCCTTCATTTCCATAACCGCAAGAAAAAGACTCATTTTTGTTGACCTTTCAATCATATCACTCTGAGCAGCTACTTCATCTTTTCCACAAAATAAAACAACATTCTAGAATTTAACATTTTAAATTACCACCAGAACGCAGTAACCAGCTCCAGCTTTTTGGGAACGGAGTCGCCCTTGACTTTCGCGAAATTTTACGAAGTGCCCTTGAGTAGAAGTGGGACAATCATTACTTTTCTGGTCCTTTGAAACTCACAAGGGAAAGATACTAACTCAGATTCGCCTTTTGAGATGAGACACATATATATTTGGAATCAGCTTGAAACGCTGATTTCCGATATGCTGTTTCTAGCTGCTTAGCATTATTCTGAAGCGAGTTATGGTCTCTTTTCTAGGCAAAATTTGCGTGCTCCTCGATCTATTGATGATACGGTGTCGACGTCTAGGTGGCTTTGCAATTGTATAATGCTCCCTGTCAAGATCGAATAGATCAATCTGATGCCACTTCAACATCCCAGCACTTTTTTTTCGCGCAGATTCTTTACACGCCGTCTTACGACATTCAGAAGTTTGCTAGTTACTCAAGCCCATAACTCGCTTCGGAATAACGCTAAGCAGCTAGGAATAGCATAATTGGATTCAGCGTTCAAAGCTGATCCCAAATATATGTGCCCCATGTCAAAAGGCGAATCTAAGTTGTTATCCTTCCGTTGTCAGCCCTAAACGTAAAAAACCTTCAACAAACGAAAAGTCGCGAAAAAAACGTCTTAATTTTTGGCCACAATGATATCCCCTTTGTTTTTCGCCCCAAAAACGAAGTCCAGCCTGATTCCATACGATCTGCGCCGGGTTGGGTGAGACACGCATACTCAAAGCTCCTAGCCCTTCCTTGCCCCTACCTATCTAGTGCTCTTGTCTGAATCAAGCTTCGTTGGATCTAAATGTTGATGTAGAAGACGACAAAAGTGATGTAGAAGACTGCATAAAAGAGATGGGATAGCATGAATATAATCATAAAATAATGTTAGGTACGTATGCCTGCGTAAGCTGAATATAAGACTAATGTGATTTTACAATTGTTCATTTCTTTGACTAAATTTTTTTTTATCAAAAGTTCTTCATCTTGACAGCATTTTGAACCAGTCTAAAAATTCAATTCGCATAAGTAGTATGTTTCCAACTGTGCTGTAAAAGGTGAATTGCCCTGTCTACAACTTTGAAAGGCTCTACCAAGTTTGAGCTAAGCTTGAGATAATTACGCCTGAATAGCTTGGGTATGTTACCACGTCCACCGGAAATCGCTACTTAGGGGAGTAGAGTCGCACTTGAGAAGTTCTAAAAGAAGTGCGCTTTTGGAAAACTTGGGATATGCTTTTATACAACCACTTATAGAATTTTTTATATTCCCAA